GTTGGACTTGTTGATCTTGAAGGTCTTTTCCTTTAATTTGTGTGATTCTGTGAAGTATTAGACTTGCCCTCACTTAGTAATTGATGTCCTGTGGAGATAAATACTAAAATATGGACAATTCCATAGAGAGTAATACGAGCAGTAATGCTAGTGCAGCCAGGTAGGCAGTGATCACCTTTATGTTCTGCCACATGAGGGCTGGTACATTAGACTACTAGCTGGTGTAGAGTATATGGTGTTACCATTTTTCATATAAAAATGGGTCTGGTTTTGACAGTTTTAATGCAGTCATTTTTTGTTTTGGTTTAATTTCTCTTAACAGAGAACTCTTTGTTTTTAAGGTGTGTTTTAAATACTGATACTAATTTCTACTGTGGTAGTTTAACTGTGTGTCAAATATCCCTATATCAGAAACTTTTGGTCTTCATTTTGAAAGAGCAGGGAATAGTCTGTGCACAAAAATAGTTCAGAAGATTAGCCTGCCCTGAGAGGGGTAATGCCCTGCCAGGCTAAAATACCACTGAGTAATTTACATCATTTTTATTAAAATAAACAGAAAAATAATTATACAGAATAAACCAATGACAGAGTAGTTCCTGCTGCTTTATAATGGCAGTTAGTAGTCTTAAAGAGTTGGAGTCCTTCCAAATATGCCAAGAAGGCTGTCTTTACACCCTATGGTCTTGAATCAAAGTGAAAAAGACAATAGAAGGGAAAGTGTTGATCCTTTTATTAGTGCACTAGAAATGCAACAACATTCTTTTTGGCACTGGAGGAAGGTATAACCAATAGAGGTAGAAAGTTGTTATTTTTTAAGACCTTGATATGAGTAGTAGTATTATTAAACCCCATTTTAATCACTCTGCTTACAGAGCTTGAGGTTCTGGAGTATTTCTCATGCTTTATACTTGAGGAGTTTTTCTTTTGTGCATGGTTTGAAGGTTTTTTGGGAGGTGTGTAGGGGGAAATTTCAACTCCTTTCATGGAAAAAATGTAGTGAAAAGAAGGAGGTATCTTTGTCCATGCCCCATGGTGGAGCTTTTAATTGCTAGTGGAGATCCACCACCATTGTGGATAAGACTGAAGTAGCTTATTCTCTAATTATGTAGATAGCAGATAAAAAAACGTAATTTAACACTACTTCCCGAGATACTGTGAGGCAAAGATTGTACTATGATGAGAAGAGTAATGTTTTCAGTATGTCGTCTTTCCCTGATGAATTTAGACCTTCAGTCAAAGACAGAGCTGAAAGATGAGTAAAAGAGAAAAATCTTAGAACAAATCCTAAAGCCAAATGTTGAAGTTACGAATGCAGTATAAACACTTTAAATCAGAATGATATCCAAGTTGAAGTACAGGTGCTCTCCCCAGGTATGAGGAAAAGGATAGCATAGACATGGCAAATGGATCTATCTGTCTGCTGTCATTACTTGGAGAATTTCTAAAAGCTTATGTCTTCTGTATATAGCCCCACTTTCAATTTTCAGCATAATGAAACTTCTATTCCCATGAGTTTCATAACTTAAGAGTCAGTGATTTTCCATATCCAAAAATTTTAACAACTGATTTTAAGACTTTAACACTCACCAGAGTTTTTAGCCATCTCTATAACTTTACTGACATTCTAACTATATTAAAGGATTTAATTACATTTGTTTCACTTTCATGCTAAAAGGTAGTTTGGTAGTTGTTTGTGTTTTGGTATCAGTTAATTAACTGCTACAGTTTTTTAAATTTTGTTTTCTCTTCGGTTGGTTCACATTATTGCAGTAAAAACTCAAAAGTTGCTAAAAGGCCCTGGTTCCTCTGCTAGTTATTCTAATAAACATTAGAATATGAATTTACAACTGTTTGTAGCATCATTGTGCCATACTGACCACAGTCTTCATAAAATAGAACTTAAATTTTCCTGTCTTTACTGCAACATTGTGACAGCTGATAGTGCTTCTGAAATCAGTTTCTGAATATACTTGGAAGATCAGCAATTGCAAACTTTCTGTTCTTGTAAGCAAAACAAAACCACCTCCAAATGCCTCCATCTCCACAGTGGAGTCTGTCCAATATTTTTAGATTCAGAAATAGAGAATTATTGACAGCATGTACCTGTTTTTTAGCTTAAAGAATGCACCGACACCTTGAATTTTATAATTTGTTAATAAAAAATTTACTGAATTTGAGAAACTGACTTCTGGCTATATTCAAACAAAAATTACCTGCATGAATGTTGAATGTCAATACAATAATTCTTTTTTTGACAGACATCACAACCTTCAGTTGCTGCTCAGGAGACTTGCAATGTGTGGCATGTGAACTTAGAAGCCATTCCAGAGTGGGTGAAATGTGTCATTGAAAAGGTAGATTTTTTTTGCTTGCATCTTAATCATTCAAAATGTGAAATAAGTAAGGGGAACAAACTTCAAGGGTACTTTTCTGCCAAGGTCCACGTATATTACAGAGACCTTCTAACTGAGGGAATTTTTCTCGGTAACTTCTTTCATTACCATTTACAGAAGTTTTCTTCCCTCTTAAATGTTTTTTTTAATGTATGCACAAAACCTACAAGTGATAAGTTCTGTTCCTGCTCATTTATAGATGAATGTATGTTTGTCCAAATAACTGTCATGGGCACCTCTGCACATTTTGTCAGTGCTTAAAATTATATTAATTATCTAGGCTTTGGGGTTTGGTTTGTCTTGATCATAATATCTTTCAGTACTAACACATGTGTTGACAGTGACAGTAAGAAGCATGTTTCTCCATCAAACTGGACTGGGAGTTTGTTAAGAGATCAGTTTTTAGAATATGTTATGATGTCTTTTATATTTAATGTGATATTATGTCATACGAATAGAAAGTAGTTATTTCCTGCAAATTCAAAGGTCTGATGACAAGCTGGTGTCACTACTTTTAACTGCCTATTTGAAATTACAAACCATCTCATAACTTTCCTGTTGTACTGATTGCTTCAGTTGAGTATTTTCTTTAAGTTAGTTTAGGTCTAGAAGTTCATATTGTTGAATAGATATAATAGGCAGAAACAGTGCTTTTCTTTTGCCCTATGGTTTTTCTCTGATGAGTCTTTGATTTTGAGAGGCAAATGATACCTGCATTCCTTTCTGCTTAGACTTCAGTGTCTTAAGTTTTATATATTGCAAGTAACCTCTGATGTAAGTAAATCAATGCTGAGAATGATACACAAAGAAAAAAATTGTTATGGCTGTAAAACTAAGCATTCAAAAATTAAGAAAATTTATTTCATCTTCCTCCATTGTTTTGCTCCATGTTTTAATTTGTTAAACATTAATTAAACTATTTTTAAAATTAATAATCTCATATACTTCAATAGTGCATGACAGAATAGTGTGTCTGTTTCAGAAACTTTAATCTTGGCACAGGATGTGAAAATTAAGGATGATGAGGTATTTCCCCACTTTACAGAATTGCCTAATCTTGAACACCTGATCATAAGGATGCAGTTTTTTACAGTACTTTGCATGTTATATTATTTCAGTAAAATTGGATTCAATATTGATATGATATTATTATTTTCACCTTCAGCTGTAAATGGCCAGCCTTCTGCATTTGACAGCCTAGAGGTTCAGGTTGGAGCCCTGGGAAATACAAACCCCAGAGACTGCTCAGGAAAGGCTTAACTTACTTGCTCAAGATTGCAGAGAAGCAGTGCTCCTCTGGTGGCCGAGACAGCGGGTAGGATTCTCTGTGATCACCTTCAATATCTTAGCGTTCATTTTGTCCTTTAATATCCTAGGAACTCTTGCCTCATGCGCTTCTGACTTTCCTGGAAAGACCCTTTAGCTTTATGGATAAATGTGTGGGGTTTTTAAACAATTCTGACTTATCCCCACATCTTACTGGGCTCTGAATAATTTTGTGATCATGTGTTATTTTCTCCTGTATGACTCCTGATTCAAAGGCTAAATCATTTTACATAAGCACAAAGTCTATTTGCAGGCTTTAAAAACCCACTGTTTCCCAGCCAGTTCTTTTTTGCCATCTGTCCCTGTTCTTAACCAATCTCATTGGGTTTCATGCACACATTAGTGTATAGATAATCTCCAATAATCATAAATATCTAGCTAGTACTGTTGGTGACCTTTATTGACCTGCATTGTATTTTCCTCAATCACTCATCACTTGTTTTAGCTTCTTTGGTTAACCGTTCCCAGATTTTCCTCTTTATGCAGTTCATCATTAAATATGTGTAACCTCAGCTCCTTTTCAGATCTTGCTGATTTTCCCCCTACCACCTCCTCCACTAGTAGGCTGTTACTTCTTTTACTGAGTCAGTGCTTCCACAGTCCGTTGCCAAACTCATGCTAAATCAGTCCCGGACTCCTTTGTACTGCACGTCATCTCCCCAGTCTCTGTGCACATAGGACATAGAGATGTCCTTTTTCTTCCCTCCTGTCTCTTGCATTTCCACTTTTGCCAGGCTGCTAGCCTTCTTCGCTAACGTTCATGAACGACTCCTCTCCATTTGGTGATCCAGGTTACTATTCCATAGTGCCTGATTGCCAGAAAGACTCAGTAAAGGCACTAGAAAGGGCTTTTCCCTGATTTTAATGCCTAGCCCGTGGCATCTGGGAAATGGAGTGTGGGAGACCTACAGTATATCCCTGAACCAGCTTAATTCTTCTTTGGGAATGGCATATGCACATGTTTGTCAGCCTTGTAAACTGAGACTGTGCATGTTCAAGGAATTTTCAGGGATTTGAAAGCCTTTGGGCATATGTAAACTGAGATTTTTTTTCTCTAAGTAAAAAACATGTCAAGATTTAAACAGATTCTCGTAGGTACAGTGAAAGGCACATCTTTGATACTTCATGAAATTTTGAGGTTTTAACTCACAAGGCAGGAGTAAGTTTCGCAAATAAGTGCTTCCAGAACTTTTTCTATCATTCTATATGAAAAATAACCTTTTTCCTGTGCAGGTTTTTTTTCTGAAACTGCAAAATTGGTTTTACTGAAACTTTCTGAACCTTTCAATCAGACAAGCATCAGGCGTGGAATCACCTTCCCAAACTACCTGCAAAGACATTTGTAACTGAAAGCAATGCTTTAACTAGAAATGTTGGGCAGCTTCTGTATTCATGGCTTAACCCCACTTTAGGCACACTAGTGAGTAATGTGTGACTGGAGTTGCTAATGTTGTCTCTCATCTGGGCTTTGATCCTACAAACACTTGCATAACGTTAATCCTCAAATATGTTCCTACCGACAGATGAATATATTTACTGAAAATGCTAATAGTTGTGCAAATATGTAGGAATTTATGGATCTTTGATATGTATTTTCTTTTGAAAAAGTGCCTTTAGGATTGAAATTAAATTCATAGAATTACTAATAATTAAAATAACTGCCTTCTTATAGATAGAATATTAAGGATTTGTCATGGTATCTGCAATACTACATACACCAAAACACAAATCCCATTTCACGGTTTTGTGGGGTAAGCAAAGTAAAAAGCTATATTCTCTTTGTAAGAAATCTCCTTCCACTGCACTTAGTATGCAAGAAATGTATCAGCACTCAGAAGACTCCACTGAGAAACTGTGCTTGCCAATTCCAGATTAACATGGTAAATTGATTTCACTGCTTTGAAGGATCCAACGTCTTCATTGCTATTGCAGCATTATTCTATCTATGGACAAATTTTAAACATACTTCAAAGCCCCTACATTTTGAAATGTGTGCTCTAGATTTCTCAGAATTAGTTGTCACTGCAACAAGCAGAGTTTTGACCAGAACAATATTTATGGTGGATTTTCTTTCTTCTGTGAAGTCTCTTTTATTGTGTTTCAAAAACAAAAAGTAAACGCTTTTATTAAAGGAGAAAAGTAACTCTAGTAATTATTTCTTCATCATTTTTTTACAATGAATGTGTTGGGTGTTTTTTTTTTTTGTCTTGTCAATAGGCACAGTGGACAATTGGAAAACTGCACTGTCCGTTCTGTGAGGTGTCCTTAGGGGGCTTTAACTTTCTTTGCAACACAAAATGTTCCTGTGGACAGTTAGTAAATATACATTTCTGCAAAAGTCGGACTGACTATCAGCCTCATTTCTCTATTAAACTGGCAAAATCATCAGGAAAACATTTACCTCTCCTCCAAATTCAATCCGGCTTTAGCAAGGATACCTGCCATGAAGTGGTAACTGCAACTTTGAAAATCAAAAATCAAGGGCTTTCACACATGGCCAGAAGTAATAATGGTACTGAAAGATTAACAGAAGCACTTTGTCTAGAAGTAAGAACTCCGAGATTTGAGACAAAAAGTAAAAAACTTCTCTTAAAGGCATTAAATCAAAAAAGAAATCTTTCTGCTTCTTCTCCTATGAATTATGCATGCACTGTAAAACGTTTTCACAGAAGATCACGTAGTTTGGATTTAAATATCAGAGAGAGACTTGTTTTGTCACCTGCGTTATATGAAACTTGCAGCATGGGAACAATTTACCATGGCCAAAAGGAAAATCCACCTGTTTACACACGAAATAGCTTGCAACTAGAGTCCAATAGGAAAAATGTTAGTTCTTTTCAGGACTTGTATAGTTCCAGTGCTGACAAACTACAAAAAAGGTTTCGAGTTACTTCCATTACCACATTACTACATACAGAAACAGAAAGAGAGTGTGGTATTGAAGCTACTGGACAGTCTTCTGGGACTGCCATTGCTGATGGGTCACCTTTTGTGATGAACCATTCTTCACCTACAAGTGCTGTAGAAGAGGAACCATACATCACACCTGTTGGTCTTGTGCAGCCTACCAGTATTTCCTTCAACCAAAAGCCAAATAAGAGAGAAAGAAACAAGTTGAAAAGCTTGAGGAGAAAACAAAGAAGGCGAGAACGGTGGCTACAGAAGCAAGTAGGTGTTTAAAATCAATTGTGCTACTTTTTTTGCTAAAGCTTGGCTTGGTTTTATAAATCATTCTGACTTTTTTATGATGCTGTCTCTTAATACTGGTTTAATGTGGTACTGTCTAGAGTCAGGTATCCTGCAAACAAGAATTTATGACTTCTTCCTACATGTAGTTTTTCTAATTCAATCCTATCCAATCAGATTTTTCTGTGTAAAATCAAACCTTGGTGGGTATAAGTAACTACTTTCTGTTGGCCTTCTTACTGTTATGGGATGTAATAATGAATTTGAAGTGGGGAAAAATACAGTAAAATTTAGTCAGTGTGATTAAAGGAAAACTAAACATTGAAATTTTCTAAATGAGAAACCCTAGCATTTCAGTATTTCCTAACTTTTAAGTAATGGCATTTTGAGTTAACTTCACAGTTAAGAAAAATTTATGTTTTAAAAGATGTTTGCAGTTATTGCTTATTGTAACACAAATTTTTTTTTTTAGTAAAGAATTGATTGTTGCTATTTAAAATATTAGTCTTTGGTAGGTAAATATTTTGTCTACAAATCTAACAGAAATGTTATGTATCCTTACCAATTACTTAACCATGGTTTCCTTCTTCAAACCATCTAAAGCATAACAGACCATAGACGGTTATGCAATTTTTGGTGGAGGGGAGAAAGACCAAGATATCTTAAAATTAATAATGCAGTTTTTGTTTGCTCTGAAACTTAGTAGAAAGACTAATAATATGTATACCATTAAAAGAAACTTTCTCAGCATGAAATTCCTGCTACAAAATACTGTGTGGCCAGCAAGAGCAAACATACTAACTGATCATAGAAGTACTATCTACTCAAGAAATCATTCCTGCCTTAGGTAGCTGTGTCATTGTGCTAATGTTAGAATAGTCCATAGATGAAGTGTAGTGACATGTAAAGCTCATGTAAACCTTATTTCACAGATTTTTTTATGAGATTGCTTTACATTTTATAGTAATCAAGTCTAGTTTAATATCTATGCCTTATTGAGAAATACTAAGCTTACCTGAATGGACTATGGTTAGGTTAGATATTAAATTGTTTTCATTGGTTTGCATTTAATGCAGTAGATATATAGGACCAGTAGTTAATGTATGGATCTTTCATTAGTCCTTCATGCCTAAACGATTTTCACCATTAATATACTGCAGTCCTTACACAGTTCCAATCCACTCAGGTACCAAGTGACTTCAAGCTCTTTCCTACATAAATAAGTCAACAGAGCCTTTAGAATGTAGTACAGAATTGAAGCAGAGCAGTCTCACAGGACATACTGTGAGACTTTTCAGTATGGCCTGCATATCTATTTTGTCTTTAGGAAGGTTTTTTGTTTTGTTAAGAAAGATTTAAATTGGCATTGTGATATTTTGAAAACTTGTTGTTATTTTGTAAAATGCTTCTCTGAAACTGAGAGTGAAGTACCTTTCCAAGATCTGGATGTCTCAATATTGAATACTTGTTTTCTAAGAAGTCTAAAGATTCTTAGCTGTCCAAGTCCCTAAAATGGCTTTAAAAATTTCAGGCCTTGTTGTTTGTGTTAGATGAAATGATGATGCAAAAGCACAGTATATATGAGCAGTCGTGTCCTCTGCAGTCTCTCCAGCCACTTTGATCTTTGTTAGATGTTACTTTCAAGAATAAGATGTTATTTTATGTTACAAATTTTCCAGAAGAATATGCTTTTAGATCTTTTTCTTGTTAAACCACGCTTAACCAATTCCTACATTATTTTTAAATTTCATATAGCAAATGTTATACAGTTGTTAAATCTGGTATATCTAATCAGTAAGCATATGGTTTATAAAGTACAAAGAAACTTAGAAAATAAGTATGTAAAATAAATCATCTGGTTTGAAATAGTAGTTTTGAGGGGAAGATATTTTGGTTTTGCATTGATTTCTTTACCCTTGGTGAAAGTCTATGATCATGGCATGGAATATTGAAATGGGACTACTTCTCAGACTCTGTGACAAGTAGCACATGTGGCTAGTGCAGCTGTGTTTCCCATTGCTGTGGTATCTTCCCAGGAAAATGTGGATCTAGAAAATAACATCCTCTGTACGTTGACATGTTGCAAAACGGGATGCTCCTCTGTCACACGCTCCTTTTTCTTTAGCATTCTGACACCTCTCCTTGTAAAAATGTGCATTTTGTTACAGTGATACTTACAGCAGGAGGCTGATCTGTGGTACTTTGTAACTGTGATTTCCAGTATGTTTACCACATATGCTTAAGCAATCAGATAGTAAAACTTCACACAGAGAAAAAAAGCATAAACCTCTGAGTGGATGGAGTGAAAGAGTTTTGATAAATGGCAACGAGAAGTATTTCATTTAAGTGCTCTTTTAAGAAGCCCTTCAGTGCAACAGAACCCTGGTGTAAGGTGAATCTCTTCTAAGCTCTCACTGTTAAAGGTACAGTGCATCTCATTCTTAACTGTAGTCGAAGCTTTTCTGGAGAGCAGTCCAAGAGAACAAACATGTTCAGACTTTGGAATTTCTTTATAAATGCATAGGCAGCTTCTCTAAGTTTATTTTGTAATGTGATAACTTTATCTGTCAAACGTTTTTTCTGTCTTGCGGTGAGCCAAAATGGGCCCATAAACGCTGTGTTGTGGCAGAACGCACTCTATGAGCTGACACATATAAACCTTTGATCGTAAGTAGGAGCGATTCTGTGAGCTCCTGAGCTGCGCTCGCCCATGGAGGCCTGCGCTGAAGCAGGCTCGGCGGAGTAGGTGCGGGACTGGGCTAGCCCGGCAGCAGAGATTCCTCTGTCAGCGCTACAAGGGCAAGCTCTTAATGCCTGTGAGAGGGTTACTTGCGTGCACGTTTGTATCCCTGGAGGTTTTTTAGGTTTCTGGTGTATTGTTAGGGTATGATAATAAGTACCAGTTCTTTTGTACCTTTTTTAAAACATAAAAGTTTTGTCACAAAAGTGACTAGTGGTCAGTTTCCATGAAGTGAATTTGCTTTCATGCTCCCAGTGTTAATCTGAACTCAGGATAAACAGGTGGGTGAGGTACTGCATTGTTTATCCACACTGTCATGTGTTGTTATCTTGCCCTGCAGTCTTCACTTTTTAAGTCCATACTGATGTTCTCTAGGAACTGACAGTCTTGCAGTGAAGGCACTGGGCTTCAAAGGTTTAACTTGTGACCTTAGTTCACTTAATCTATGCTTGTCTCTTTTTCATGTGCACATTTGTTTATAATTATTTTTCTTGCACTGTCATGTTTGTATTTAAACTGTAAATCCTTCAGGTGTCTCGTCCTGTGTTTATGTACTTGGATATCAGTCACTCTTTACTTGATGAT